TGGTATTTTTCCTCATGATACACTATATTCAAGTTTGGTATTGATAGCCTGACTATGCCTTACCATCATCATATTCCAAAGATAGAAGACTAAGTACTACTCTCAACTACATTGTCCTCTTCTCTGCAAGGTATTTGTCTAACTTCATTCAGCATGATGGTGACAAGGCCTGACAGTGCTGCCCGGAGTAACTTCACAGATAACAACTAAAGCAGCAACAGAGTGACATGGTGCTACTCATGGCACATGAGAAAAGGATCCCTTTTGTTTCACCACTGTAGGAACCAAGAAGACTAACCTTTCCTTTACTGTAAGGGAATGCTGTTTCAAATAGCTGAGCAGGTCATTTAGAATCCACCCAATCACCTTCCTGGGCTTCATTTGGGTCTGCTTCACCACATTTTCAAAGAACTCTGCTAATCCGTCTTCATTCTGTTTAAGAAAAGTTAAATATATCAAAGAGATACAGGAGTGCAAACATGATTAATTATACAATTACATTTGGCATATAAAGGCTCAATCCTAAAGTAAACTTCGGTTTGTGAGTTCATTGCAAAGTCACAAGACTTTGGAGTGATTTCATTAACAGCAAACCAACTATCTTATGTCCAGAACAGGTACATACAGCTTATCTGCTGGTCTGGCTGTTTCAGTGGAACTTCCAGCAAATGCACGGTCATTTTTCTCTTAACTTGTTCCTAAAATGAACATTTGGAGAGAAGCTTTCTCATCCTCTCATGTGTTTTAACTACGTATAATGCTAGAAAATCCAGTGCTGCCATCTCACAGGCTGTCATGCTGCCTTCTACCAACAAGAGGTTTTTCCTGCAACTGTCTACAGATAGTTCACTCTTGATCTTGCAATCACTTCTATTTATTTTGGATTGAAGGAGTAAGTTTAGCTTGCATTTACCCTTCAATGATGTGGAAAGGTCACACTGTAAGAAGCAGGGGTTTATTTTTCCAGTTTTTTCAGAGAAGCTATGTAAGCTTTTCCACAGCACCCTAAATGCTCAGAAGATATGACAGTAGAGGATTCAATTTATAGCCTAAGTGAAATCTGAGATTGTTTTTAGAAGAACAGATACTGCACAGTCTGTTGAATGCTGTGGTGTTTGTCATCAAGGCACTGATGGATCTTTAAGTACAGCACAGAACTCAATTAGGTCTACTGAAGGCTGAACAGATATGAACTGGCAGCTCCTACCTTTTAAAGGAGGAATCCAAATCCAGCATGCCACTGGACTTTTGCGGTGTGTGGCACAAGCCAGCTCTCAGAAGTTAAGCATTAGAGACAGCCAAGGAGCTATTCCAAGCACACGGTCATCACAGCAAAAACATTTCCCAAGCACATACTGACTGCAGCCAGATCTCTGAACACTTATGAGCAAAAAGAGTGCAGGGGATACACTAAACCAAAGCCTGAGTTTTCCACTCAAACTCATCCCATTAAAACAGTTTCATTTGCCCTTGCTTTTAAAGTCCATTTATTGCCATAGCAATACAAGATTTTAGACTTTCCTTCTCCAAATTTTCACAACACGAACTTCCAACAGTTCTAGATACCACATTTTTCATTGGTAATGATGTATGGCTTTTGAGCAGACTGCAAACTACTGCTCTCTGTCCTGTCAAACAGACCAAAATGTACTTAGACTAATGGGTGATGTGTTGCAGAGCTGGTGTGACAAAAAAGAAACACCCCTTCCCTTTACCTGGATATCATGAGCAAAGAAACCAAGTTCTCGGCCTAGGAAAGCCACTGAGGTCTTTTGTGAACCAAAGTAAACCTTGTAACACACCCTATTTATCTATCTAATGAACAAAGACATAATTCTCTTCTTTCCAGTGTCCTTACAAATTTAACTAGCAGTTACTCCGTAATCAAATGATGCAAAACCAAGGCTAAATACACCACCGGAACAAATTTGGCTTAAAAAAGGCAGTAAAGCAATGACATAATTACCAAAGTACAGTAAACTTGATTAAAAACTGCGTGTGTTTTAAGCAGAATTACTAGAATGCTGCACTGTCAAGTACTGTACTCTTTCTAATTCACCTCAGGATTCAATAGCACAAACACACACTGATTATTTAAACAGTAGGTTCCCTTACACAGCAACACCTGTCCAATTTAGGTAGGAAAAGTGAGCATGTATAAATGCTTGTTTCTTTACACATGCTGCAGAAGGTTTTACAAACACTCCAGGCAGAGTAGGTCTAGCTACAACATTATGCACAGGAAAACAATGTCTGCAGACACCACATGTCTGAATGCAGCTCCACGGCTCCGTACGTCCAACGCTCCCGTCACGTACAGGCTGGAGAGCACACCCCTAGCACTGAGCACATTTGGGTTTCTGGATACCTACACCCGGGCTCGAGTTATGGCTCTGACCCTGCTGCCAGACCTTTGAAAAATCGAGGACAAACATACCCAGCCTTTGCATTTTAATCAGCTGATTTCCAGGCAGCAAGCACAGAAAATCCCAGGAAAACTCAGGGAGACAGACTTACATATGCTACCAGGTCTTGGAACCCGATACTCACTACATGTGCACATAAACCCAGACATATTTCCCAAAATTCCCTTGCATTTCTTTTTAGGTTTTTTAAAGTGACTGTCATTTTCTGTTGCCAAAGAGTAGGAAAACCCAGCAATGCTAGTCTGAAATGAATAAGGCAGAATGTCAAAACATCAGAATGACTGACAGAAATGAAACATTTTCCTTATTTTCTTGTCATATTAGAAAAAAAAGTAGGCATAACTTGATTAGCTTCAATTTCTGGATAGTGTACTATGTGAACTCGACTTAAATTTGTTTTACACTTTGGTCAACTTTCTTAATGCCAAATTCACTCCAACTACCAACACACAGACAGACCTGTCCCTTGCAGTAGATCTGAGCTGCAAACCCCTGCATGCTTTAACATGCTGGTTTACAGGAATGCTGTCTGTTCTCTCTTAATTCTGATTACTCTATAGAAAAAAACCCCCAGAAATCTGGAATAGCAGCACTAAGTCTGTGAACCAGGAACACTCGGTGCTCCCATTACACACCAAATATGCTGTAACATAATCATTAGAGCATCACCGGCATGGAATCTGACATACCAATATTTCAAACAGATGCAAATTTATTTATTAAACATGGTTTAAAATGATCATTTCATGGCATTCGGATGTCAAAAAAACCTAGTGGTGGAGTGATTTTGAATACCTTTTAAACAGTTTTTTACAGATTACCATGGGTACAATCTTTAGGGACACTGGGTCTGTGATGTGAACTTACACTTTTAAAGACTAGTAATGTTTCCCAAAGAACTGCACAAGGAAACTACTTCAGTGTTCACACAGAAAATGTCATATGCTACTTTGTTATTCCCATTTTCACCATCACAGTTCCTACAATCACCAAGTGAAAAGTAATAACTGCTGCAAAAACGTGCAAGATTGTCAGGGGAAAAAACCCCAGAACATGTAGCAAATGCAGTCAAAACAAAGTTCAAACTTTTTCCTAGAGCTTCTTACAAAATGATTTAAAATCAAAAAATAAGCATAAATTCACCTGCACACCAACAGGTATGACAATGGCATGTCCTAAAAAAAAATGGTCAAAACCAACTTCTACAGCATCCCACTTCTGACTGTTTGAAGGAGTCACCAATGGAATTGTTCCACCAAAGCAATGAGCCCAAGCAGAACAGTCACATTCATCTGAGTAAGCAGAGGAATGGTAAATGCACTGGAAGACTTGGAATTCACATGAGAAAGAAAGTGATCAGACTGGGTTTTTTTCCTCATACTGTACTGCTACAACTGACCCATTTTCTGGTGGGACCTTCCTGGACTTCAGCACACATTTTAAACACAAAGCATCATGCTAATGTCCATGCCAATATTTCTTATTTTTTTACTCAACAGAAAGCAAGAAAAAAATATTATAACACCATAACTGGCAAAGCTGTCAGTGATCCTTCTTGACTGATCTATTTGCCAGTTTACACTGCAAAGCAGAAACTGCATGCAGAAATTGAGTACCCAAATACCACGGAGACTACGTGGCTCAAAGAATTGTATCCTTATGAGTAAGGATAGTTCTGCATGAAGAAAAATTAGAAACACCATTTATTCTTGCAATTTATATAAAACTGTCAAAACCATAGCAGTCTACACTTTAGATATTTCAGATCTCAAGATATTAATAAGCTTCTCTTTCCATTTCATACATCTCGTACTGAGGCAAAGGAGGAGCCCCAGTTCCTCAACACCGTGGTATGTACAGGCAGCGACCAAGTATGAGCACAAGGCTCAGGAAGCAAGCTCAGAAACAAACCTGCATGCTGCAGTGTGGTATTGCTCTGCTCTAACTTTGGCACATAATGCTGTCTCTAACAAGTTGGTGCAGAACAGACTTTGCATTTTAGAGTCATCCCTCTACCACTGCCATTTATTTAATGAGCACTCCTGGGCGCTCTAACCTGAAAGAATGCTCATTAGGTTTGTGCATCTGGCCCCATCAGCAAATCTTCTGCAACTTGTGATGCAAGCTTAACGCAACGCCACTTTCCGATGAATTAAGGTTAACTAGTCTCCCAGTGAACAGGCAAGCAACTTTTATGGAGAGTACACATGCTGACATTCTAATGCACAATAAAAGAGACCCGCAATGAAGAATGTGTTCACTTCATGCATTCAAATGGATGCATTATCTTATTACAAGCTGAATCCCAAATTTTAGCTTGGAGCTCATTAATTGCCTTACACATTGCAAAAAGATAAAAAAGGTAAATGGGAAAAACCAAAGGCAATAATGGATTTCAGAGATCAGCTGAAAGAAAGGGCAGTTGATGAGGCAAATATATAGGGCTACTTGACAGAGATGACAGAACCCACACAGCAGAAGCTACCCCTTCTAGCAAACTGAAATACACAAAAGGTGGGTTGATGCCAAGTGAAAGGAGTGGGTGCTCTGGGTCTGGCCAGCTGAAGTTTATTTTCTTAAGAGGGTGCTGTGTTTGGGCTTTGTGACTAATGCTGTGCTGACAACACATCAATGTTTTGTTACTGTTGAGCAGATTGTTCTTTTTTCCACTCTGTCCCCCATGGTGAGTAGGTCAAGGAGGGGCATGAAGTTAGGTGGGGACATAATCTAGACAGCTAACCCAAACTGACCAAGGTCATATTCCATGCCATGTAATGCCCTGTTCAACAAGGAGAACTGAAGGAAAAGGATTTTGGGGGAGGCAGTGTGTGTCATTGGCTGTGGACTGGCTGTGCATCAGTCTACTTGTGGGAGGTGGTCAATGATTGCATTTGCATCACTTTAGGGTCTTCCCTTCCCTGTTCCTTAAGTGTGTTTATCTCAAACCACAAGTCTTCTCACTTTTGCTTTTCCTAGTCTCTTCCCTGTCCCACTGGCAGGGAAAATGAGCAAGCAGCTGTAATGTTTAGCAGCTGGCAGGGGTCAACCTACCACAGAGGGGAAGAATTAGAAAAAAAAAAATCAGAAAAAAAAGGGTGCAGAACCTACCTACCCCTTCGACCCCATGTTTATTTAAATATGTGAGAAATACATAGATGTGAAAAAAATGCATGCATGAACAAGAATACTGGCTGAAAAATCACATTTTGCAGCTTATACAATGAATTAGAAAGGTATGAACTACTGACACCTCTCTATACTATCACTGCAGTCTCATGATGTTGATGGGACTTATGACTCACCTGCCCACCAAACAGTAAAACATCTGCAACTCACTAAAATGGCACAGTACCACAGAAGCAGTTTTCCTAACAGCTTTCTTCAGAACAAAGAACCATATTCTTTCTGTAGAATCAGCTGCTGTACAAGTGTATTAAATTACAGACACAAAAAGGAGGAGTATGAAGTGGTTATGTGCACTGCTCCCCCTCCATTTATAGCCAGAGGAAAGGAACTCCTCCAGAGGACAATATAAAGTAGTCATGGTTTAGCTCTGAATCACACTCTGAAGAAGTCCTTTTCCTTCTCTCTCCATGAATCCCAGAGGTAACCAAAGCAGGACACTCTCCTACCGTAGCTGGCTATGTGAAACGTCTAATCTTGGGTGGGTATATTAACCCCCTCGCCAGAGTCATCACTGCCAAAGAGAGATGACACAGGTTGTATTTAAGAAGCTCAAAGTACTTTAGAATAATTTTGGAGCTTAGGAGATTTTGCTGTCACTTCCTTATTTATATATATATTTGCTACATCCTTTTCTTTCTCGTCCCCTGTTCTGAACCTATCCCTGGTAAACTGCATTATGAGGTCAAAGTTCATATTGTGCAACCATCTGGTGCATTTCCCTAAGAAAAAATTTGGGTGTTTTTCCAAAATAACCTGGAAGGTAGGGATCAATGGGCACATGAAGGTGAAAGATTTAGACTTTGGGCTTTGATCCTACAGGCAGGATAAGATACCCGTTGATTTGTTAAATATGGTCAATGTGCCCAGCCTTGTACCAGGGCCAGAGCCAAAGAGAGGTACTTGCAGACAAGGGTCTGTATCCAGGCAGCTGTACACTTGCTGCAGTCAGTCACAGGTGCATCGATGTGCAGACAGACAGATCAATATTAAATGATAGTTATCTGACTGCACTTTGCATGAGAAACACTTCTAGGTGCACTGTGCCTGGTTTATTTTCTCCACCATCTATGTATATGGCTCCGAAGTACAAAGTATGCATTGAACATACTTCCAAAATAAAAAACATCCATGAGAACCGACAGCCAGTTAATACAACACTTGTAAACCTTTTCAAGAACTGTGCAACTTTGAAGTTTCTAGGCCTTTTCTAAGCACTTGATCAATAGACCTACCAATAAGGTGAAGCTGTGTTCAGGAAGAATCCCATACTGTTCAACAAGCTTTTCTCTCTTCACACTGGGGAGCTCGGGAAGTCTCTCATGAATCCAATCAATATTTATCACTTGCTGATGGTTCATATTAGCTGGCAAAGATTTTGCATCATACAGAATCAAAGGAGGAAGGTTTGGCTCTGGCATGAACCTAGTAAAAATGAAGAAAAACTCCTTTATAATTATTTTTGCTCAAAAGCTAAACAACGAGGAATAAAATGTTTATCACAAGTTTATACTTTCCGTAAAGTTGTATTACTCTTTGAACTAAACAAAGCATTAAAAATTCATGACTTGGTATATTGCTGTTAAGTAGTAAAAGACCAGGCCCCAAACAACAGCAAAGCCTCTGTTTTTTTTCTTTGAGTATTTGCCACCGATTGTCAAAGACCTCATAATAGAAAAGGAGCAATTAAAACACTTCTGCACCCAAAATAATACTAGAAAAAAACCCAAAACACCAGTAATAATAGATATGGAAACCACCCATTCCTTTTGGCATCAAGCATGGATTGTGAATCTAGACAAAAGAGGGAGTGGACTGGCAGGGAAGAACTCAGATTGACAGCCAACTGCCAGGAGTGATCTGGGCAGGTTGTAACCTTTTCCAGAGGAACTTCAAAATCTTGATGAAGTCTCATGCTGGGCTAAAAGCAAAGTTACTGTGCTCAGCAGGGTGCCATCACAGAACAAAGGGCTCCCTTGAAGAGAAGGCCAATCCAAACTACTCAAATAACTGTGATTGAAGCAGAAACCTCACTCTTACATGATCAAACGAGGGGTTCAAAACCCACCAGAATAAAGAGCATTGGGCACCCTTTACATTTACTATAATAATTTCTATTTCAAATCTGCCTAAGCACAGACTTTAATACATAATGTGCAGCAGTAAGTTATGAAAAAATCTGAAAAACACAGTTTACAGTTTAATACTGCTCATAACCTTAGTACTAGTAATAAACTTTATGGTCTTTACTTGAACTACCTGAGACTCATCAGTTTTGCCTAGGTTTAAATTAATTTTCTTTTGCATTTATTTGAATTAGTGTTTTTAAATAAGCCTCATTCCAGTCCCTACCAGAACAAGGAATTCACAAAATGATCAGTGCTGCATTTGTACAAAAACATAACTTACAAAGCAGATTTAAATTCAAAGTTTGTGGGATGTTTTCAAAATAATTGCTTTGCCATAGCAAGATGGGTGGTAGAATATAAGCAGATCTTACAGGAACACAGAGATGCCAGAGCTAAGAGAGTCAATGCTCCCCCGCAGAACTACAATTCTCCAGCTGGGAAGTAAACTGTGCAAGTAACAGGAAGACCATCTCAGGGATGCAAAGCTAGGGAACTATTAGGAGGATCATCACTAAGGTGGCCCTAAGCAGTCCTGCCGCTGCCTTGCAGTGTTGCCTCAGCACTTGTTCCCAGCAGCATTGCCTTGTCCCCTCACCCTGTAGCTAAATTTTTCTTGGGTGACTGTTTACGGTTTGATGGCTGTCATCTCACACTGGTGGAAGGTAAAGTACTTAACAAGGTAACATCTTTGGCAGAAACCTCCCTAAGAATGCTGACACCCTTCAATAGCAGTTAGGATTTTCAGTGTTTGTGATCTGTGACCACAGCAAGCATGGAGAGGCAGGGTCTGCTACCTGGAAACCATTTCCCTCAGTATTTATTTAATTACAGCATGAGCAATGCTGAACTCAGAATATTCTTATGTTTAATGTCAGGCATTCTTAAGGATACACTTGTACTGGCCACAAAGTAAACCTCCAACTTAGTCTGAAATATCTAGGAGTTTTAGCAGAGATGAGACACAGCTCTAGATCTGAACTGCTCAGACTAGCACTGATTTTGATAGGTCTCTGCCCCTTTCAGTGGAAGGCAAACTTCCAATACATACTCACTATACTGACTAACTTTATTTACATCCTTATTCCCCTCTACACTTAAGAACCTCATTTAATAAACTCTCAGTTTTTAAAAAAAATTTAAAGAATTTTAAAATTTCTAACAATACCGATAATCCTGTTTTCCTTCTTTGTCTCTCATTGGTACTGTGCACCTAAAATAAAAACAGAACAAGATGTGGTAAGAGGTACACCACAGAATTCGTTCTATGGCAAAACCACAAAACAAACCCTCTGCCTCACATGAAGATCAGGAGAGCCTCTTAAAACCACTTCAAAGAATGTGTGCATGTAAGAGGGCAGTCATTTGCACACAAATACTGCTTGATGCAGCACACAATCTGTTGTGAAAAAGCCTCAGCTTTAAGAATAAATTACTACCTGTCAGGAGACTGTGCTTGTGAACATTAGCCTTAGATGACTGAAGTTGAGCAATACATATTATGTCTCTTGATCATGTCACTAGGTATCCATGGCACTCTGAAACAGCCATTCCTGATGTTCCTCCAAAATAAAAACTCACCCAAGCTTGGAATCAAAGGCTCTTGTTTCATTCAGAATTGTTCCCCCATTTTCAAGTTCTTCAATTTGCCTCTGTATTTCATAGTCTGACAGCAACAAAAGAAGGAGGAGTAAGCTTGTTAGACTGCACTATTAGCTTTTGTACATGCCACTATTTCATTTTTACTGCTAAGCAATAATGGAATAGTTTGTTGGTTCACCCTTAATGAAATCAAGGGTAGTAGTTATAGGCAGAATTATCAGTCACTGCCTCTCTCTTCAGGACTGTTTCTTTGTTTTCCTCATCTTCTTTCATTTCCTTTAAATACAAAACATTTTCTCCCAGGCATTACAGCCAAGCCATACATTCTTAGTGACCTTGCAGTCACCCAGTTCAGTTTTCTTTTGAAGATGTAACAATCAGCTTTTCTTCCTTACACACAACCTGCATCTGAACTTCACACACATCACATGCCATACACAGTGGAAGGCAATCATCTCTCACTGAAGGACACAAAACCTCTGCTACCATATTTCAGCGCTAAACATGGCAGGCACTGAACCATCTGCTTTATTCTTCCTGCAGGCAGAGGGTTACCTCTGCAAAAAACCTGCAGGCTAACATGGCTGCTATTCCCAGAGTACCCCATACTAAGATTTATTCTGTCAGGGAGCAGCAAGGGTGGGGGTGCCCCATAAAAGAGGGATAAGCCAGAAACTGAGGGTGACCACAGCACAGGCAGCAACTTGGTACAGTCCCAGAAGTCTGAACAGCATGGGAAGGGGCAAGTGCTACTAACACAGGGTCCACTGACAGTCTCAGTCAAGGTGGGGGGATGAGCTGAGTTCACGGTGCATCCAGGGAGTTCAGTTAGAAGCAGCAGGAGCCAAGTCCACGGACAGTACTGGGAACAAGACTACAGAGCAGGTCCAAAGTCCTTCAGGAGACAGGACTGAAAATTGGCACACCTGTGACACAGCAGCTCAGGCAAAGTCTGAAGGCCCCAGCCCAAGCTTCAATGGGACTGCTGTACCCACGTGCAAAGTGCATGGAAACAACACCCAGCTGAAGCCAGTCATGGCATTTAAGACCAGTTACTGCACTTGGGAGCCTGACATGTTTCATGTCAGACTACAAAAAACATCCGTAATGTTCTTGTAATGAAGCAAACACTGTTTACCTACTGCTTTTGCCAGAAATCGTATGCTATTGATATTCTTCACTTCAGTCCTCACTCCATAAGGCTCTCCAGGGTGATGCACAGAAACATTGGCATCCACTCTCAGCTGACCCTCTGTAAAAGGAAATTTTGTCAACAGAACATTCCACCCTGTAAACTAGAGTTAAAATACTTGGCATGCATTAATAAACTGCAGGCTATATGCAGAGTGTTAATAGCAGACTTCTATATGTTCAGAAAGGAGAAACAACCACTTCATCATAGCTTTGTTTGTGATTCCATCTGAAGCCACTGCCTTGAATCATTCAAAATAGTTCTGAGAATAATGCTTTTTTTTCTTAATACAAAATCATTGCTCATAATTCCTCTCAGAAAACTGCATGGTGCAGTGCAGCACAGATCCTCTAAGTCACACAGTGAAAAGAGCTTCTGATTCACAGCTCTTAAATAAAGGGCAGAATTAGACAAGCAAAGTGGTGGATTGTGAGCTTCCATTCCTCCCAAAGCAGCACAAAAATACCTTTTGGAATTACAATTTGATGGATATATACTGCCCCAGCAAGGAACAGAAGAACTTAGAGCTAACATTGAACAGATTTACTAAGGTGTTCTTGGAAATTTACAGCTCAAGGACAAAATGTGAGAAGCAGTGGATTGTCTTGTCATTTTCTTCCTCTCCTTCAAGAAACTGCAATCTTCCACTCCAAAATGTCCCTGGCTGCCAAAAACTGATGCTGAATACAAAGTTTTATATAAAAGCATCCTGCAGTGTTAGTCCAAAATGGACTAACACCCTTAGACATCTTTAATGACTCAATCACAAGTAACTTGTAACTGTATCCTTCTAAGTATTGCCCCCCTAAAGACATCCCTTCTGAGAAGTAAAGGCTTGCCACAGTTATTGACTGGTGGGAATAAACAAACAGAAGAGGTTGTGCTACATTAACAAAAATGTTAAGAAACATTTTTTTCCATGTTACACATGAACACCTGCAGTCTTTCCCTGTGGTTTTTTTGAAATTAATTTTTAATTTCAAATACAGACACCTACTGTTTAGATACAGTAGCACTATTAATGAGAGTGCAAAATAATTGAGTTAAACCTGTGAAGATGGCTATGGCTTCAGAATGTATTCAGGTCAACAGATTTAAATTGACCAGAGAGGCCTTGGTACAGTTTGTAAAGGCAGGCTGCATAATAGCACACTAGTTTCCTGTCTTCATAGAGTCTTGCCAGACATGCAAATGAAGGACAATGCAGGAATGACCCAACATCTCTTTAAAGAGAGGTGTTTAGCATGTGCTCTCTCTTTGGGGTGCAATGAGTACTTCTTCCAAGAGTGGAAGAGTCTTGTCCTGCCCTTGCTTCATTTTGAGACATGACCCATTTCTACTTGGATGTAGGTGTCAATGTGACAAGACAATGAAGTTAATCAGGCATGAGAGAAAGCAGAATTAGGCCACAAATGTTCTTCCTTTAAGTCCAGCTTCTTTTCCTTTCTCTTTGCAATGAAATCATCCTTTCATGTGTTGATTGTTCATTAAATAAACTGGGTACTTGTCTTCACTAGACATGCAAGTACAATGAAAGCAAATTATGCGAATGTAAAGCCTTTATTTGAAAGAAATTAATTATGATGAGGGAAAACAACAGCAGAAGGCTCATAAAACCTTCACCTTGTAAGAAAAACCAATCCAAATACTTATAAAAACAGCTATTCTGGAAGAAATATATTTCCAACACTGGAATTCTCCTATGAAATCAGAAATCTCCCTGTCATAAAAGATATCATAATGCAACTCTAATAGCAATATTAGGGCCAAATGCAGTAGTGATAAACAATGGTATATATGTCTGCACACGAAGGCCCTTGAGGAAGCATGCAAACTGGCTGCTTAATATTGACAACTGTGCCCCATTTGACACGTGGAACACTAATGTGAGAAAAGATTCAGAGAAATAGATAATGTCTAGCAGTTATTATTTCCCCTTACATTAAATTAAATTTGCATCACTAGCCACCGTTTATTGGATCCCATTTATCGGGTTGATGCATGGACCACTCTTATTCAGTTTTCTGGGAGACATCCACTTGTATTATGGACTGAATTTGTTGCCAGACAGTGAGGCCAACTGTCACAGGCAAAAATATAGCTTACACTAATAAGCAGCTGATAATTGTGTGGATGTGTGGAGGGGACAAATGCCTGAACCATTACTTTACTTTTACTCGCACGCAGAAGCCTGCTATTTGCTAGCTCTAACTGTGGGCTGGTTGTAAGTTTTGATAACATTACAACTGAGCAAAAATGGCATGACCTGAATCTTCCAATTAATACAGACACAAGACAGAACCACCAGTGAGGAGACTGAACACAGGCCATGCTTCTGCACATCACCTGTTGTGAAAACCGGGGCCTTACAGCTTCAGAAAGGTGGTACCAAAAGCAGGGGTTCCTACTAGAGGAAAAGGTCTCAGAAAGATAGTAGTGATCTTGGCTAAAGAGATTCTGGAGATGGGGGAGGATCCTGAAGATCAGAGAGATGCATGATGACAAATGCCAGAGGATGCCTCAAGACATTGGCCTCTTAACACCCAAGACTAGTATCTGCAAACCTGCTGCACAGCACGAACACAGTTTTCTAGTCAAGTCCCCAGACCAGCAGTGATCTCCCTAGTGGGACAGAGAAACTGAGACGTAGTGAACATAATGCTGGAGGGGAGGGAGAGACAGAGCAAAATGAACAAGTAGGATACAAGCTGCAGTCTCTTTGGTTCTCAGATTAACCCCAGCACCTGTATCTGTACTGCTGTTTATTCCATCCCATCCATGGCACCAGCACAAGCTTACTGCCTACACTGATTTTCTGACTAGCTGAGGCCTGACACACAACTTAGAAGATGATCCATGCTCCCACTACTTTGTCCCTTAACTTCCATACTCTACAATTAATCCTTACTACAGGAACATGCTGCGGTGCTATGGCAAGCAAGATGGAGAGAGAGAGGGAGAAGTACTACAAGAACCCTGGGGACATTTCTTCCTGCCTAGGTTTATCATGTGAAATTATTGTGTGAGGAAACAGAACATCTAGCATGGCACAGCTCTGCAGACAAAGGCAGGCCTATAAGGAGACCTGAAGCATGGCACACATTAGGACAGACTCCGACGATTGTGAAAACAACAGCTAGAAAAGGCTATGCATTATAAGCAACTGCAGAGCAAAATAACCAGAAGCTGCAAAACTCCTGCAAATGCAGAGAATTACTGGTGACAAGGGAACATCCCCTTCCCCCTTCAGTACCTGCCATGACTGCCTGGCTGCTCCCAAGTGTTTGAAGAATGAGCTGAAGCTCTCTGACTGCTGCAGCTGCTTCTTCCCCACAGCACATATCAGGCTCCATGACAACCTCCATGAGACCGACTCCTGACAGGGA